AAAAATCGATAAAATCGATATCGGTCGATGACGAAAAGTAGCCTATGACACCCGCCCGGCCCCGAATTGTATGTGTGCCAAGTTTGGTCCGGATCGGTTCAGAAATGGAATTTTCTATTCGGAACATATGTAAAGACATACAGACATACAGACAGACAGACAAACAGACATTCAGCTTTATATATAAGATTATAATATCGTGCTTGGCCTCGTTTTCAGCAGCTGCAGCAGAAGAAGTTTTCCTACCGAGTGGGTTGGACGCGCGATAGCGTAAGCTTCTTGAATACATGATCATCATTGCGGAAATGGAGCTGGGGATACACCGTTCCATACGAGCTTGGCTTCTTGCGGCTGACCTTAGTGAGAGAACCCAGAACATCCGTGTGGGTTGAGCCTCAAGATCAGTAGTGTGGGACGCGCTTCGTCCCGTGTTATTGTCGACTTAAGTTTAGTGAATGTGCTGGTCCGTACTCTTGGTATAATTTCTTAGTTGTATGTGGTTAGGATAACTACTCAATCTAGTCGCGCGTTTTTATGTGAGTTATTTGTTAGATTGACCTCGTGAGTGGACGCATCAGCATTGGAACTCGTATAACCCACTTCAATCTTCTTCTTTTTGAACCACCTCTTTCTCCCTCTACTCCCTTCTTTCATTCTCATCCGCCACTTGCTTACTCATACCCGGCATTTTTTTTTGAAAGACTTTGTATCGTCAGCCTTCGAATGCTATGTTCAAGTTTGTGAGAAGCTTGGTAAGGGCATGTGATAAGGAGCGATATCTCCTCAATCTGCAGAGAAATGGAGGGGACTTACGCTCATGCAAACTGAATTTCTGATGTTGTAGATGTACAAGATCCACGCAGTTGTACTTAAGTCTTTGCAAATTCTTGCTAAGTCCCGTGCAAGTCACATTAATGAATATTTTAGAGGAATTTTGAATTATAAAGTCACCTGCGTGTCTATCACATCCCTCAAAAAGGCAGCATCTTATCATTTTTGTGACGAACGTACAGCAGTTATTTCATAGCGTTCTTCATATCTTCAGCATACACAAACATCTACGCAATGCGGATCTTGGAGAGATTACAATTGCATTTAGTTGATTGATAAATTCTGACTCGTATATAAGTGAGACAACTTATCAGCTGGTACCATTAGGCAACCCATCCTCATCTGGCTTTATCGGACTTACGTTTATCACGAAATCTCTGATTAAGTCACATTCAGTCCGTGTGAACTCATGTGAAACCTTTTTAATGAATGAGTTGACTGTTGGTTGATTAATCCTACGAAGTGGATAACATAACTTGGCAACCTCGGCTATCTCCTTATCAGAGGAATGCGGTTAATTTTGCTTTTTCAGTATTTTTTTGCGCAAAAGCCTTATAATAAAGGGCTCAGCTTGTTCTCTGGATTCTTTTCTCAATGAAATTGTCCGGTGTATTTTCTTCGTAAATATGTCCGAATAAAAAGCTGAACTTACAAACTGATTCCGATAACTTGGTTTTATTTTAGTTTTTTGAATGAATCAATTTGCTCAACGCACTTTTATGTTTCTAGGTAATATGGATACACTGCCTTATTTATGGCTTCCACTAATAGCCACATGCCATAAATTTTTGTAAAATCAATTTTTGCAAGCACTTCATCAACCAGCAAATGGCCGTTTACAACGTCATTTCTCTTGAGCATCATGATGAAGAAAACTGACACAAAGACTCGAAAGTTAGTTATAGAACAGTATGTGTGTGTTGAGTGCGTAATCCTGTTGAGTGCGCATGCGAAATCTGTCACGGAAGAATAAGGAAGAGATTAGCCAGTGCCCCCGTATTTACATGTTTCTGCATTATCTCTTTAGCGCCTGCGTTTTACAGTTTTTTGCACTTTTTAGAAGCGTTTGGGAAGTGTGAAAAGAATAATGATTTTATTAACTGGCCAAATCACTTCGAGTGGAAGTATTCACCATTAATGCTTTGACCATGTACGCCAAGCTTCAGTTTTTCATGGGAATATTTGGTGATCAAATGTTTTTCAATCATAAGATACCTTGGCATAGCCATAATAATTATGTTGAACCTGTTCCATTTTGGTTCTTAACCTCACTTCCGATAGAGATCATCCTGTGCAGAGATCTTCAATACATTGTTAAGTCGTAGCAAAGTATGGCGCTCAGAATTTCTAATGCTTTTTCAAAATTTGATAATTGAGGACTTTTGAAACAGTGCGTGGAAATTACCTTATATGTTAGCCTTACTCTATGCAAAATTCGCAAACGCTTTCAAAATCATTGCAGAATGCGTTTGAGTATCAGTTCTGAAATAAAGTCTTATCCAGTCTCGCATCATTCTCTGTATTGCTTTCTTAATGTGGAGAGGAGGAGCACGCTCCCACAATTTTGAGAGCAGGCGATTTGTATTTCTTAGTTAGTCAACCTGCAACCCCTTCCGCCCTTACCAGCCTCGTATTCCATCAAAAAATGTGACAAACAAAAATGCTAATGTGTTAGACGAACCATGTCAGCATTTTTTACAAAACGCTATCGGCGTGGAACTCACTTCACCTTTGTTAGTGTTAATGGTTTCGATATTCAAAGCGACTACAAACAATTTTTATAGCTTTCAAGTAAAATCATTATAGGGTAACAAAATGTAATCACGTCTCTCCACCGCGTCTGTAACTGGTCATCTGACATCACGTCAGATGACCAGTTCTGATTGTCTTTCCCATGGCGCTACAATTTCATATTTTTACGAACGTCGGTGAGATAATGTCAATTCGAAGGCGTGAACACCATTATTTCAAAATTGTAAGGGTGTTTTGCGACGTACACGACAAAAATAGATGATCTAAAGAAACAACAATAAGGCGAGTAGCAAAAGTCAAATACAATGCCTACTTGTACCTTCTATCGAGTGAAAGATCAGTCGCAAATTGCTATTTATACATTTACACATTTACAAAAACTCGATCAATGTTTTCGATAATCGCGATTTCGCGAAATCGCCACATCCTTGCGACTTGGCAATTTGCCAGATGTCTAGAGATTAAGCATGCGAGGCTCTCAGATGCATGGATGCGTAGATTCCGTAAATTGTAACAAACACAGCAAGTCTGGCCCAAGCAAAGTGCGTTTACGACCAGCTATGGAGAGCCATTGCAGTGCCAAATCACGCGACGACTAAAACCGCGTGAGGTATGCCTTAGGCCTTAAAGAAAAGCTACTAATGGCAAAAATTTAGAAATCATGTTGACTGAAAGCTTGCGTCTTTGAAGTTCATATGGCAGCCCTCTCGTTTGACGCATGATGCGGTAGGAACGCAATCAAGATCGCCATATAATCAATTTTATCCTCTATTTCTAGTTATTTTTTCAAAGGATTGCCTCCATGCCATGCATGGTATCCTGTATTTGCTATTAATATGGAAGCAAATTTTTTGAGTAGTCATCACAAATAGAAGCTATCCCTCTTTATAGAAATTGGACAATTTGAGACATTCGCATAACTTCTAAATGTCGACGTTGAAATATCAACAATTCAGAGACTTTCATCTATCTTGCGTAAACGAACGCAACATTTTCCTTACTTCGTATACCGTACTTCATCAAAACTTCCGGCTCAGTGTTAAGAAAAGTCCTGTAAATCCTGCTTTAAGCTTCCCAAGCATTCAGACATCAGCAAAATGATCAATCCCATCCTCCACATGTTTACAGGATTTCCTGTTAGAGGTGATAGATTTATTATTGACTCGCCTCTGAAAACTATCGCTGATCTTTATCTCAAATTCAACGAATGGGGGTCTTATGCATTGTCCAGCATCCTGCTGTCGAGACTCAAACCTTGAACTATCCTAAAAAACACAACATTCTCACCCATGCCATGATTCATCAACTACTATTTTGACCCATGTTGAAATTACCTAGTAGATCTGAAGTAATTATTGACAGTGTGTATATCACGCAAGTAGCAATCCAGCAATGGAGCGTACGATTGTGGAAGTGCTCGTAGTTGAACATGCCAAGAAAATGTTTGATTGTCTCATGCTCAGACATTGGAAAAGGAGGCATGTGAATTGAACCCGAGATAGTTGTGACAGAAAAAAAGCTCGACTTATGGTTAGTGTCACGTCAAAGCCCCAACAATTTGACACCACATAGCCTAAATGCCGGTTTTTATCCGCCAACACGGAACAAACATGATGCGAGAGTTGCATGCAGACATTAGAAAAAGTAATCTGTTACTATGTCTCTAGCCGAAATTTTGACGAAAGCATGAGGGAATTCCGTCACTTTATTATTCTGGATCAACATTCCAGCTATGAGGATGCATGTTGCTGATGTTCCTAGTCAAGTGCACCAGAAAGCTTTTCAGCGCAATTAACAGATGACAGATTAGCTAAAGAAGCCATCACAACAGCTTATCAAAAAAAGCAGATTGTTTGATTAGGCTTTCCAGCTTTTTTTTTACAAAAAATGAATCCACACATTCAATAAGGTGCCTGGGTTTCACAAGACAGACTTCTCAAGTTTGTTCCAAACACGACCACTGCAATTTCTTTACTTGGCAGTTAAACACTTGTACTAATGTTATAGCAAGCTGTATTCAGACTAGTCAAACAAAAGAAAACTTACTGCACCGTCATTATGTCAGCAATTTGGGCACCACTGCCAGCAACTGACTGGGCTTTCCTTGAAGCTGCTCAGTACTTCTACTCACCTTCATTGATAATGCTTCAGTTTCAAAGAGTTCCGTGAATCCTATGTAATCAATGCCCCGTATCTACTAAAGATGAGTTGAGTCCTCGTCTCATAGTTTTCCACAACTCCAGTCTTCCTCCGACTTTTCATTTTACGTGTATCAAGTTCTCACAGTCATTGTTTGTCTCGTCCTTTATTAACAACGTCCATATGCTGCTTTATTCTCTTGCCGTAATTTTCACTAATTCCAGTACATCCACGTTCAGTTTTCGTCTTCAAAGAAACTTAGCTGCTTTTTCCATTTCAGCTTGGATATGAATCGAACGGTCTTGGCTGCTTTCGTTCTCACGTTCGCCGTCGCGTACGCATTCCAGCCAGATGATCAGTTCTCAGGTAATCTGAATATACAGGATGTTATATCGAAGACTATTGGATGACTAAACAATATGGTTTTATAAAACACCAAAAAACTCATATCTTGACGAATTACTGCCTTCACAGTGCAGGGGTGTTTAGGAAAAAATGATATCGAATTGCAAGGATTCAAGCCATGGTTTGTGCAATTCCGCAGTACTTGCAAGGTCGCAGAAACTTTAAATCTAAAACTATTCGCAATTAGACAATTCTGAAGAGCTCCTTGAGATGGAAACTTACCCAGCAAATGAGGAAGCTTACGCCAAACAATGCAAAAGCCTAGATGTCTAATTGAAAATTATTGCTAGAGCCATGCACTAAATTCGATCGCAACATTACAGAAATGGAGAAACGTAAATCAGCGTACATGCGTTTTGGCAGGTCGGATCCAGAGCTCACTGATCAGTTATCATTGGAGAAAAGGAAGAGCGCCTACATGAGGTGAGTTATATCGTGAATTTTCGAGCAACTGTAGACGGATAACAAATGTATAGGAAAAAAGTTCAGCAAGTTCAACGTCATAGTGAGATGATAAGTGCAAAGCTATATACTTGTATCGTAATGTTACACAAGAAAAAAGTGGGAAAACTGCATAAACTATGTAGTTCTCTCCCTGAAGCCACGGAGAAATTCGACGTAAAAAGCCAATCATCTAAACGAAATGCTGATTTCATATTTTGAAGTGTTTAAGCATGAATCAGTGACATGGTGTTAATCCACGCAAATTTATGTAAATGATCACATTTCCCAGTAATATGTGGGTAGTTGCTCCAAAAGTAAAAAATCACTAACTCATTCTGCTAAAAAAACCAGAGAGTGATCAACATCATTGAACAAATTTCGACATTTCAGGTTCGGCAAACGATCGGAAGTTGCAGATGAGGATAGCCTAGATATGGAAAAACGCAAGTCAGCCTATATGCGCTTTGGAAAGAGAAAGAGCGCCTATATGCGGTACGCTTCCCCAAAAATCTCCACTGTAAGATTCAAAAAGAGCCAAACATGAGAGAAATTTACAGACAAGAATTATCGCACTGATGATAGAACTTATAAAAAAACTTACAAATCACCAATACATGATAACACAAGAAATGTAAAATGTGGTCTACGGCGTATTATCTAACAACTTTGAGCTGGTGCTCTCGTCTCATTTTGCGAGTAATTAGGACGAACCTTGTGCATACTTTGAGTCGACTAATTAACATGGATTCTGAACTGAATAGCTTTCACCATCACGTCACTGGTACATGCACCACCCTAAGACCTTTTTGCTTCCTTCTTCCTTCATAACAAAACACCTTTTGTGAGCTGACAAAAGCAACTTTGGAGAACACCGTCAAAAGTCCAAATGGTTCCCGCAATCGAAGCTTTTTTTAATTTCAGGACAAACTCTAAGTGTCTATTATATCATGGGCAACAAGGGCATAAGCTTTTAGACTGGTTGGTCAGTAGAGCACAAAGTATCAAAAACTTTCTTCTCAAACACTTTTCTTATCAACAACTTATTATACTTTTTACAAGTGAAAGATGCAGAACCTTCAAGATAAGTACTTTATGTAGGATATCCGCAGACTGTTGTATAACACTTCAACACACTTGAAGGACCAATCTAGTGAGATCTAGTGAATCAAAGCCCACTTTAAATGAATTGGAAAATTCCCACCAGAACACATGGTGTTATTGGGCCTTCCTTCTTCAATCGCATGGTCAATGTCATTTGCAAAATCACCACTATAGCTTTCGATGTGTAGATAGATGCGTCAGACACAACAACCAAGCCCGAATATTCTACGTCATTTCTAGAGTAGATTTCTTTCTACATTTTTGGTGCTTCTGACGCCCATTACATGCCATCGCAAAATCCCACATCATCCTTACAAGTCGTCATTCTTTTCACGACACTATGGCCTGTTCAGGGCGTAAAATACGTGGAGATATCTTTTTCTGAGTGAATAGCTTACAACAGCCCGGGGAAAGTGCCGCCACCTAATTTATGACTGAGCACTTCGCTCAAATAACCTATAGAAAGGTTTAAAAATGATATAATCAAAGAATATCCGCTGAAGAACACATAATAAGGAATTCTTACGAATGACTGCTTTCGGGATAAAAAACTAATGACAGATCGACGCACTCACATCCTTGATGCGTATGGATACGGACTGCCAGACCGTAACCGCTTTCGCCTTAGCAACTACATCGAGCTTACTTCCTTTATGTGTAGAAACGCCCAGACTATTAGCTTCTTTCGACGTCGTGCCAATTTGTGAATCGGTGAAATCTCAAAAAGAAAGAAGTGTGGTACTTTTCTAAAGCTTCTGTGTGCCTCATCTGAAAACACAGCATTGCTTCTTTCTCTTTGTATCCGCACCATTATAAAATTCGAAAGGGAATTATGGTATACACGAAAGCTAGAAAAACTAATAAGCAAGCAAAGACGGTGAAAACGAAGAAAGCTTGTAATGAACGTCCTGGTCCGCGCGCAATTTATAGACATGCCCTTTTCACGCTCACAAAGAAATGTACTTAAGTATTTGGAACAGGTGTAAACCACAGGATGCATGTCGAAGGTTGGATTTGAATCTATTAAAATTTATTGATTTTGTGCAGGGGAATCGGACGTAATCTAGTGGCACTTGTACCTTTCCCAATGAAATCATCAGCAATTTGCGTTTCTTCATTATACGGAGTTATACATCTAACGCGGGAATGATGGCTTTGAATTGTTTAATGTATTATAGATTAGATGATAGAGCAGGTTGCGCTGATAATCCATCATTTTGCAACAGCATGATTCACGAAAACATACCTCTAGATGACATTCAATTAAGTTGAGAACACAAATTCCAGAGCAGCTCTCAAGGCATTCATTTCACCTTCTCACATTTCAACACAAATTATTACGGTCACAAGTTCCAATTCTTGTGAACTGGCCATATCCAAGAATATCATTTCCATACCAATCGAGCTAAATTTCATAACGCGACAACGTTATCAAAACCAAAGCACTTCTCCAAGACTCATAAAATAAAGCGACGGACCTGCGCAGTGCAAAATATCTCATTTTCAGATTCGGCAAACGTTTCTCAGAACTCGATGAACCGATCGATATGGAGAAGCGTAAATCTGCCTACATGCGGTAAGTCCAAAAAACTGTGGAGATTATTTCATCATCATTTCCAAATTATCTCCTCTGTAACTAATGCCACTTGTTAAGTTCGACTGTAGCTTGAACTCGGGATACCTAAGTTTGCTCGTCATTCAAATTTGTTATCAATTTGCCCAGATATACTAGAACTCTCTATCAAAACCCAAAAACTTTTTTACAACTCAACGATTTTAACTGCTAGATAAACGATCATCCAGCTGAATCCAAATTTTTCAGATTTGGTCGTTAAGCTCTTCCCAACTTTCGGCCCGAGGTCGCAATCTATGTCCGAGTGAACATCAAACATTTTATTCATTGATCTCATATGTTGTTAATTAGTGATCATTTCGACAAACCGGCCTTCGCTTTCATCACCTGGCGTTCTTCTGGAATATAAGCTGATTATGTGGTGAATGTGTGGTTTGCGGATTCAATATCCAATCTCAAGTCAAATTTTGTCACTAAAGCATAAAATGACTGTTAGTGCATCGATAATATGAACTGTTGGAGTGTGCAGTAAAGAATTAGTTAGCTCGGCACATTTCATCAATAAAAGAATTTGGAACAACAGGCAGCTTTTCAAAAATTTGAATCGATTGCCTGGTAAAAGATAGGGAAGCCACTCACTTTTTCTTTTATATGCCTCGAATGTAGCTGAGATGTCCGATCCTGAACGAGGCGCCATCTGTAAATGAGAAAGCTGTAGGCTTTCAAACATAAGTATCAAGCGACAGAATAAGAAAAAATCAAATGTTAGCCAACCTTAGCGGTTCTAAAACGTAACTCAAAGCAGTCAATGAAGCGACACTTCACTAATTTTGGTTGGTGGTTCAATCACCAAATTCGTTAAACAAATATCACTTACCGATATGACATAACGTAATAACCTAAAGATCGTTTCGCTGGCAACGAGGAGGCATCAATCCCATTTTCAAGAAGTTATAAGTTTCAATTCTACATTTGTATGCATAGTTATAAACCTATCAACATATTCAATGCAAGCCGTTTCATCTTTCTTACATTAGTCTGACTAGGATCAGACTCGGAGTGACACGATGATGTTTGCTTCCGTTTACATTTCTTGTTCACTCCGCTGTATTACTAACTTCTCAATGTGTTTTTTTCTTCTTTTTTTTGATGGAACGCCTCTAGCGTACAAATGAAATGAAATGAAATGACATGGCCAGCTATTTTTGTCAATTCGGAGCCTACTCAATGACCGAAAAAGACCCAGCACATCCAAATATGTTAATTAATACGTATGAGGGAAACAGAGAAATTGCGTATAATAGAATCTCATCGAAAAAAATTTCTCCTGTCCTTCCCAAAAACGCCAATAACGGCAAATAATCCAAACAATAACGCAGTGGGACAAGATTCACTGCCTGCCAGCCAGCATGTGATAAAAGGTAATCAAGCGTTTCATCAAAACTGGTCCAAATCAAATAAGACATCTTCAAGATCTATGAGATATGTTTTTCCATAGATTGTGAGATTGCAGCTCACTCAAGAATTACTGAATTACCGTTTGATTGACCAAAAATTGGCACGCTTCCTATGCGATTGCAGCAGGGCAGATATAAAAATGTAGAAGACATACTGCTGAACAGGGGCGGTCCCAGAATTTCCGAGGGCCAAAAATTTTTTCGTGTCAAGGTACGTGGCGTTAGCCACGCACTCCGAAAAAATTTTGGGGTGCTTCTGAAAATTTCCGCGGGTCCTCAACCCCTAAAATGTGGCCCCCGGAAAAAATTTTTTTCAAAGATTTTTTTACAAGAATTTGAATTTTTAAAATTTTTTAAAAAATATTTTAATTGTTTACAAAAATAAACAAGTCATTTGCGCATTTTCATAACTCATAAAGGTAATTATCAAATTTCGAAATCCATTTTCGAGGGGCCCCTCCCCCTCGGTCCGCCACTGCTACTGAATAGACCAAAACAAGCCCTACGATGGCATTTAAACTATCGCAAACGAGTTGAAGTTTGAAAACAAAACCTTCAAAAATTCCGAAAAAAAAATAGAGCTCCGTCTAAAAACCCTACAAACCTCCAGCTTAGTCACGTGTACACTGTCATCAACGTTTTATAAAGTTGCTATATTTTTCAGATGGTTAGAAATTGAGAGAAATAGGATTGAAAAAAACTGTCGTTTTTTTTCTGAATTTTCATTGTAAATTTGACATTACTGACTAGAACTTAAAGAGAACAAAAACGAATCTATGGATTTTCTAGCAAAGTATGAAGCATACATACACCTAGCACTGTTTAAAAGTATCCCACTTTTCGATTTCTCGATTTTCAGCATTAAAATTACAGCAACAGCGTGTACTCTTTGATTAAAATGGCTTGGCGACTGGAAGGCGGGGCTTCGTGACCCTTTAAGGCTATGTATAGGGGCCTGCAGGATCGCGAGAGTCGGACGTGCGTACGGCCATTGCGCCGCGCACGTCTGATGTCGCTAAGGCAGGTGCCAGATCTATCCGCTTCAACCGGTTTGTTCGGTTCATAGGTCAAATCACTATACTGTCCGACAGAAAAGTTGGTGCACCGAATGAATCTGTTGAACAGGGTAAGTCTGGCACCTACCTGAGTCGTCGGATGCGCATCTGACGTGCGCGGCGCAATGGCCGTACGCACGTCCGACTCTCGCGATCCTGCAGGCCCCTATAATGATGTCAGAGGGCACGCGCGCGGAAGAGACGCACACTGCGTAGTGGGCGCGGGCGGCTCACAAAGTCCCCTTTCCAGCCGCCAAGCCAGTTGAATCAAAGGTTATGTCTGATGTGGACAAAAGATGCGTGACCAGGTTGGAAGTTTGCAGGACTTTTATAGCGGAAACCTGCTCTCAAAGGCAGCGTCCGCGCATTTGAAATGGAATTTTCTTCGCTTACCGGGGCTTATTCCTCTTGCTGATTCTGAAAATGGACACTTGGAGGACAAGAAAACGCCGAAAACGGGTTTTTCAGAAGTTCTTGATTTGAATTTTGTCGCCTGCCGCCAAAGTTAAGATGCAGTCTATGTGGGACCCTTCGTCTTGACTGTGTGCGGTATGCGCACTCTGGCCTATCGAACTAACTCGTCCCGGTCGCCGGAGCGTTCCGGCCGCCACTTCTGAAGCAGATTTCTCGCTTCAGAAACACTGATGCATTGCCAGTTGGGAAGAGCCTTACCAGACCGGGCGCCCCTGTACTCTACATTTTCGTATCTGCCCGGACGCTGCCTTTAAGCATTTGAGATTGCTTCTAAACAGAGCATTTGAGTTTTAGATTTGCTTCCAGACTTCAAATGGACCAAACTTTTCTGTTCATATGCCATCTTGAAGAGCTTGTTTTGGTCTGATAATATGCTAGAAACATTATTTTCGGACAACTACTAGAAAGTTCGCATATGCTGGGATTCTTAACTAGAAGAAATGGAGACCTGACCTAAAAACTGATCAAAAGCAAAGCGGTTACAGCCTATAGAAGCTCTTGCAATAAAGAACCCATTCATTTATACTTTGAAGTAAAGCTTTTCCACAAGTAACGTTGAAAACTTCTCGAGTAGAAACCGATCTATTTGGATTCCGTGTCCGACAAGAAATCCCGAGATATTTCTGGCAATTCTTTGTGACGTATAATTATAAATTGCGTTAACACTATTTTCACTTCTAAATAATTCTGAAAACTTCATTTTCTCGAAGCGCGGCTGATGATAGTCCTTAAACTAAAAAACTCTTTTGCTGCCCCCTCCCCATGGAAATTCCCAGGACCACCATTTTGGAAAAATCGTTACTCGCAAAAATGAGGTGACCGCATAATATACCAAAAACAAACCGCAGCTCCACGAGTTCCCTCAGCTTTTGCTGTCAATTTTGGGCTGGATGAACGTGATTTCTGAAAGCACGACACTTCACTTTTATCAATCTCGACGGCTGAAAAACCGGACATACCGTTGACGCTACAGCTTTTCCACTACATTCTGCACATATAAAGATGAATCGAGGATCACCAGATTGTTGTGCTGTTATTTCTGGCTTATGACATCTGCAAAGATTTGAATAAGAAGAGAAAACAAGAAATAGCAACGCGTAAGAGTAAGTCCAGTAAAAATTAACCAAATTTGACATAGGTGCGCAAGACTAAGAAGAGAATTTACTAGACATTTCCCAATTGCTTAGGTAGTTCTAAGTTGTCCCAAATCAAGAGATTTTTTTCGAAATAATGAACGGCTGAATGACGACACTTTCCTAATTGAGCTCTTAAGGGGAAGGATACTTGGATGCCGTAGCCAATCATAATGATTTGTATACCAAAAAATGCGCTTTTGAATGCTGGTTCGTAGACTGTCTTTCATATCTGCGAAACGATAATCTGAATGGAGTTATGATTTTTTCTTTTCATTAAAAAATTGCGTTACTGCGGAGGGAAAATCATCAATAAAAAAATTTTCTCTCCTTTCCAAATGCTGAGTATGATCCAAATAGTCTAAATAAATATTACTACGTCTAAAATTTTCTTCAGTAGCATCAAACGGTAGGCTAGATCAAATCTGGTGATTTTTACTATCCAAAAGTAGGCTAAATTTTCAAGGAAAACAGTTCATAACTTTCTTCAAAAGATCGTTTCGCAGATTTCGAGCACAGATTCAGAATCTGCATTCGAAGGCGCATTTTTTGGTATACAAATCATTGAGAATGGCCGCGGCATCCAATTATCCTTACCTTGTAGTAGTCATTTCATGAAAAAAAAAAGCGAGAGAGCTCATGAAAAATTTCAAACATTGGAAAGTGATGCAAACTAGGTGTAAAGGAGTTTTTTTTATTGAGCTGAGCACACTCTTCAGGACATATGATAATGTTTCCAACAAAATAAAACGTAAGAAATTATCGAAGACCCATTCAGATGCTACAACGCTGTTGTCTCCGGACTTTCAAATCGCAGCTATCATTTGAGTGTGATTTTACGGATCATAAAAAAATGCAATAACGATACAGCTTGCTATATGCCGTCGCTCTCGTGATCTCTCGGGGTAACATAAATATGCCGTATCTACACATGTTTCAAACGATTACAATTACTACAGAAAAATCTACCGTAGAACAGAATAGAGGTTACAAAGAATATCAAAATTATGGTAGGACTAAATTGAATTCTCTTCCTCTTTTTTCCTATTCCTATCCCAAAAAATCTATCCAGGGAGATGGGAACGGTGTAATGGTTACTAACAGGTTCTCTGTGGCTGCGTAAGCAAGAGCTTTCAACTACTTTATATTCGGAATTTACTTTCATATCAATGAATTTTCTCTTCTATTTTATGCGGATAAAATAAACTGAGCTAGTGACCTGTTCATTAGTTTAAAAAAAACAATATTGCCAAGCCAACTATGAAAAACGACTGAAGTTTCTCCGGCGTAACCAAGTTTAGCGACGAAATGAACACTCCTAGAAATTTTTACTCTTGATAAGAATGATGATGAAGCTGAAGGTCACTCCGGAAGTAGAGCAAATCAACGAGGATTCAGACCGCATACGAAAAGATCTGATTATAGTAGTTAAAGGGTATTTAGGATACTTCGCTCAAATCTTGCTGAAAAGTGCAATCGCCAATTGTAAAACGATAAGCTGTAGTAACACACTTTCATTCCAAATTCAATTGTTGTTTCTACGAAATTGAAAGTTGAATTCAGCTCCTAGGCTAACCTCTCGCCAACAACACGCCATGGAATAGAATATTGACGTAATGTAAAGGTAGAGCCATTTATTTTGTACACTTTTTGGGCTGATAATATTCGTTTGTAACAATAAACAAACCATGACCCCTAAGCAAGGTACCGTTTTTTCAAGGCTACAAGCAAAAAACTTACTTTTGATGATATGACGTGTGGCAACCTTCACAAGTAAATACCGAGTTCGAAGCTGTTGTCGATTTCTCGCCACATTTCTTGCATGGCTGAAAATTTCGTAGATTCATGGCATAAATAAGGCGAAAAATCGTACGAAATGTGGGGAACTGTCACGCACTAACCGGGTTCGTTAGTGCGAGGGCGGATGTCCAGGTGGGGATAGAGAGAGTAATAGAAGAATTTATTAGACGACTAGAAATAGCAGACAATAACAATGACTAAAACAATGGCCGGGCGGCCCTATTTATAGCCGCCACGGTACAAAGTACATGATCAAGATCAACATTCAATAATCATTGCCTATGGCCTATAGGCATCCTTCACATGCCCCTCCGTCGGTAAGAGTCGTCCCGACTCGTGACTTGTGCATAGTGTGAATTGTGAACAACTCTCGCGTCTTGACCCTTGGAGACCAGGAAACTGACGACAGGTCTTCTCCCACCTCCATAGTAGGAGTGCTGTTGTACCATTGATGGCCGATTTCCACCTTGGCTACCCGCATCGTGGCAATCATCTACCAATACCTGAAAATAGAATCAAGGGGTCTAATGCGATATTTGTGGCTCTTAGTACGTGATTCAGCACCAGACTCGGTTGTCTTCACATCATTTCTTAAGCTAGAGCATTGTGATTCTCGATGTGGTCGATCCCCGGCTGCTTTTGACGACCTGCCACTCTTGGCTTTCTTGAACTGTCGCTCTAGGGACAGCACAGGATTGCAGATCCTCGTGTTCTCCCCCGCCACGGTGAGCTTGGCCCCTGCCAAGTCAACGTCGTGCTGAAAGCGACCGCTCTTGTCCTTTGTACTCGAGACTACTTTACAGTTCGCGACCTCTTCCCATACTCCTTTACGACTAGGAGACATTTCAGTTCTTGGTTTAGTATACGAAAGCGGTGCGCTCTCGAGCTGCTGTTTCCGCTTTCTCCATTTCCTTGGAGCATCGACTTGGATTTTGCCACTATGAGTGTTTATAACATCAACGATAGATGGCCCAAGTTGCGGTAGCGCATTTGTTCCAAGCACAATTCCGCCATCTCCTCCCTCTCTAACGAAGAAGGCTACTCTGTGCTTGGTGCCACTCTCGACTTGCAAGGTGAGCTTCACCGCTCCCTTGAACTTTATCCGTTTCCCGGAGGCATCGTATGCGGAAGGTAACTGCTGAATCGGGATTTCTTCAACGTCCGCGTTCAGATCAAATCCCTTTTTCATGCTCGTCATTAGCAATCTCAGGGGGATGATGCTGATTTGAGAGCCTGTATCTACCATAGCTCTTCGAAACAATCCCAGCAAACGTACATTTAGCACCATTTGCTTCCCAAACAGCTGATTCTTCCTCGATCGTGTCCTTGCCGAGCTGCAAATCCATCGATCCAAAGATGCCGTAAACTTACTTGGGCACTGTTCAAGTTTCTTTGCTGACTCTGCGGTTTTCCTTTTGCCACACTCGCGACTATAATGTCCTGGTTTGTTGCAGCTGTAACAGCGTGGCCACCTTTTGCAAGATGCTGCCAAAGTATCTTGCATAACACAATTTTTTTCTACAACTGGAGTCTGGCTCTCACTAACGGATGTATCGGCATATGCATTTAGCACAACTTGTTCCGTGCTTTGTTGCACCGCCACAGCCAACTCCCTGCTACGTTCGCAGCGCAGCGCCATAGCTTTCACCAGCTCATACGCGCGTTCCCTCGGGGCTGTCTCTACGGTGGTGAACATTTGGAAGTATTCAGGCCAGTCCCTCAACTGCAAAACCAATTCTGCAGCTCTTATCCATGAGAGCTGCTTGTCTGTGGTGTCTGAGTACGCTAACCGCGTAAGCCTCTCTAACTCAAGACAGAAGGCTGTAATGTCCTTTGTCATCCGCAGATGTTTGAGTTGTACATACGCAGTTATTTGATCAGCAGACTCATTTATGCTCCATGTGTTTCGCAGTGCTTCTACAATTTCTTCGAAGGTACTCTCCCGTATCCTTGCTGATAGTGTTTCGGCCACTGCCTTAGGATATCCGTCCAATTTAGACAGAAAAAGATGTACTAGCATGTCGCTATGCAGTCCAAGTCTACCATACTTCATTATGAATCTGCTAACAAAATCATCGAAGTTCCTTCCTTGGGGATCCGGAAGGGCCATTGCTGCCAACACCTCCGCAATATCTGCCTGTGCGACCTCACCCTCGGTCGACGGGATTGTATGCGGAACCTTTTTCTGACACTTCGGCATTTTCTGCATGGTGTCCATCGGCTTCTTCGATGAAAACAATTCAAGCTCGATATCTGGAGATAGAGCTTTATTTAAATCCAATGTTCTGTGCTTCACCTGCAGCACAAATTCAATTTCGATGATGTATCAGCTCACGGTACACACGCGTATACCCCGCCTCCCTCTGGGCTGGGTCTTGCGGTGTAGCTGATACAAGCCACAAAGTATACCCCTTGACCAAGAGGGACCTGTCAGTATACGGTACACGCGCCGCTGCTCCTTTGTAGAGGTAGACCACGGCGGTGTAACTGACACCCTCCTCCGGTCCTCTGAGAAGGCTCGATGTGCGGTGTGCCACACAACGAGCTCCTCTTTGAATCGGAGATATACACTGCCTCTGATATAGGCAGGATACTCGCCTTTTCCGCTTACGCGGTCTTATCGGCGGGGTTGGGTTGGTTCGGTTCGGCCCCCATGTCACGCACTAACCGGGTTCGTTAGTGCGAGGGCGGATGTCCAGGTGGGGATAGAGAGAGTAATAGAAGAATTTATTAGACGACTAGAAATAGCAGACAATAACAATGACTAAAACAATGGCCGGGCGGCCCTATTTATAGCCGCCACGGTACAAAGTACATGATCAAGATCAACATTCAATAATCATTGCCTATGGCCTATAGGCATCCTTCACAGAACTGCTTTTCATCCAAGTCTTTTAAAAGTCAATGAAATTTGGTCACAAGGCCCTACAACGCTTACGAAGACATTCTGTACATCTACCCTATTTTCAGGTGTATAAACCGCACCCTTTTTGCTCTAAACGCGAGCAGACCCAGGCGTGCCGCCGCGCATATGTCTCGCGAAGCGGTCGCCTTATCGCATACTGCTCTCACTTAACGCGCTCCATGTGACAGTCAGTCTTTTGGCGTGTTCGCCTTTAGAGCGAAAAGGGTGCGGCTTATACACCTGAAAATAGGGTACTTATCTGTACTGCAGTATGTACACTAAAGCTATCTCAAGTGATAGGCTTTCAAATTCTCACTAAGGCTAATACATAGCCGCTAATTCTAAAAACTTAGTGTCGTACCGCAATCCCTCAAAATGAAAAGAATAGCACCCAAAACCTGCAAAAATTAGGTTATCTGGCTTCAGCTCATGGAATGAAACCTGACGAGTATTTGTTATAAATCACCTTCTCAGAAGTTTTCGAATCATCCGAATCAGAGTCATCGGAACGTCGTGCAGCGGGTAAACCGACCGGACCTTTTCTCTTCTTTTCAGGTACTGGCGGTGGATCGACCTGGGAGATTTTTTTAGGATAATCTGATTCGAATGGACGCCATAAATAACAAAAATATACTTTTGCTTTTGCAGCAGCTCGTTTTTCCGCAGTTGGCAGCGCATCCAAGTGTATAATACGCGGGCGATCTGTCACAGATTTTTTCGCGCCCGTTGGTCGCGCTTCTGAAGTAGATGATGGGCCTGCCGGTGAAGGCGCCTGTGCATCTACTGGCGCTATCTCATCTCCACTGTCCCAGAACTCATCATTTGGCGTCAGTTTCGCTGCGCTTACCTAGTAAAGCCACAACTCTTCGAAGAAATACTCAAAGGCATTGTCTACCCCAATTAAAAATGATGAGATTTCAATGCTGTATAATAGCTGGGCTCCTAAACAGGTTTTAATAGCCAAAGTCCAATAGCTGCGAAACGTTTTCCGAAGCGAGGAAATCTCTGTAGGACTCCGCCTATCAACATGGATGGTCCCAAGATATCAAAAATTAGTCTCTAAGTACGTAGAAGTGTTATAAGCTCGTCTTTCATTCCATTATCGATACCGCGACATTTCACCTTGAAGCACTTACAAACTCATTATCTTCAAATCATCAATTCACACATTCACGACAATACGACCTCACCGGTGGGTCGTACGAGCTTCGGTCAATACGACCCACCACTGGGTTGTAAGACTCTTGAAGCTCTATCTTTGTCAATTTACGATGGAATTCTACAGGGTTTGGCACATGATTAAGGACGCCCAGGCGAAGTTCCAGTCAGAGTGGTCCGGGATCGGGATACTGTAATGTGAGTATAAAGTAGATAGAAAGCATAAACTTTAGCTCAAATTCTTCGCGGAATGGTGAATGCTGTTTTTAAGAATTCAAATATACATGCACGAGAAATTCGTGGCTAGCAAAAGACTTGTTAGCCCATCAAAAAAATCTTCGATTTTATTGATTTTATTAATTTTTTGCAATGTTCATCCCGAGAAGCTTAAATTTTATATATGTAGGTTCTTTAGTATGCTGACTACGAAAATGATAGTCTCAAGTCTTAATACCGCCTTCTTACACCACTTTCTTGATTTTTGCGAAAATTTCACGTACTGCTACATTAACCTTACTGTGGGACATTTGTGAACAAAGTGGACATTATAATCGTAATCAGCACGTGAAATTGACCCCAAAAGACACTTTTTCATTTGGGTTCGGCTCACAATGACTACGTGATCTTGCCGTATAACGCCAAAAATTGTAATAAATCATATTCTGACAATCAACGCCTTCGACAAGCCATTTGGTGGCATTCGCGGCATCTTTTGATTTTTTATCCAAAAGACACCTTTTCGGACGATACGACCCGCGGGTGGGTCGTAAGTTTGATAAAGCGGAAAAGGCTCTGGTCCGAAACAGCAGTAATCGAAAAATCGGCCTTGTTGTGAATGTATTGAAAGCGGAGCCACCCTGCTCGCTCCCACTTTCTGCAGCCATTTTCTGATCTCGAAAAAATCTTGCAGTGGTCCTAGGCAATTACTTACCTAGCTAGGGTTCCGCTATTCAGCATAGAAATCTCATCACCCTCGATTTGGGTGGACGGTGCCCTTGAAAGCTATAGTTTACCATTTTGACACACTCTCGAAGTTCCTTGACAGCATTACTGTCCTTCGATAGCATCAGTTTCGTTATCTTACTGTAAAACCCTTCACCAAATGGGCATGAACTGCCACTCTTCTTTCTTGTGCCCCCTCCAGTCACAACACCCGTCATTATTTGCACTTTTGCGTTTTTCTTGTTGATAATTCACTCTGCAAATTCTCTTGACACAAACGTAATAGCAGCAAGTGAATGGCAGAAAAGATGATTCGGCTTCAGCGGTTTAACGAATTAGCAAAGCCATAGTTGAAAAATTTATACATGCAAATTGAGTATACAGATGATATGCAAGGAACATAAGTGATTTTTGAGTATAGACCGTATCATGATCATTAAAAAATCTGCTAAAGCAAGAGTTTGAGCTGCATTGTGAGAAAAGGCAGTGAGAGGAGATTTGAAGGAAGTAGCTTCGGATGAGATGTTGGCGGAGGCAGTAGCATCAAAACATGGATATATAACAATGAACAAGCATTTTACTTTGATTAAAAAAACTCAACGATAAGCTAACGTTAAGTGTTTTGCTGTGCACATAGTGAATCATCGAGATGTGAAAGTTTCAGCTCAGATCTAACGACTGATCAAGAAGGCTTAGGAATGCTTAGAGTGTGGGATGTATAACCGTTAGTAGGGCAGTACAGAATGATCATAACCACGTGACAAAAATAAAACGAACCAAATAAAGGAATTACACGGTGGCAGATAAGCAGTTCACCGCAACTCAATCGAAGTCAAGAACCTTTCTAGCAGGATCTCCGCCATCGCCAGCTGCATGCAACTAAAATATGGAATTGATTAACTTAAGGGAAAAATCAACAGCATTCCGGGAAGCGCCTTTCTCTTAAAACACCAAGTTCTAAGACCACGATTTGACTTTTCAGTCATATATCTCATTTTCACTACTGATCTCGGATCTCATCGGCAGCAGAAAGCGACTTTGCAACAAAAAGGTCGACAGACAAATATCCAAATTCCGCAGTCTGCTCAATTTCAGAAGCTCAGTGTTCATTCTCGAATTCAAAAAAGAACTAGAAAACCATGCGAAAACCATCAATACCTTACACAAAAAATGAAAATAAAGTAAATTTGGGCGGATAAATTGAGGAACTAATCAAAAGAATGACTCTTACAAAAAAAAACATCAAATTCTATCGTCAAAGTTACCTGCGCTCCTTTCGTCAACTCTTCCAAGCGCCGAGCCATCGTATTTGGCGTATTGTTCTGCAGCTCTTTAGCAATCGCAAGAAAATCTAACGGTGGACCGCTAAGGCTTGAGTCCGGAGATGCAGCTCGTGAAGACGAACCCGCTATATACGACAAATTAGCCGCAAGATGAATTTCATAGGATCTACACTCACTCAGATAAGGATGTTCCAGAAGTTCGTTGACATCCGCCCTATCGTGTACATCCCGTACAAGACAACGCTAAACAGATTTATTACCAGCATGAACTGTTAAATTGTAGGATAAGAAATAAAGCTGAAGCATTGCTTACCTTCATAACATCGACCAGACGTGGTTCATGACAATCAGGAAAATCGATCACATATTCTGGACTAACGATTGCAGCCATCTGAAAACGACTCTAATTTCACAACGAAAATTCAGAAAACGTATTCTATCGGTTAAAACCACACCTTTGCGGCCTGGCTCTTCATTGGAAATGGTAAATGCCCGTATACAATGTTGTAGAGAATACATCCCAAGGACCACACGTCCGCTTTTAAGGGAATCTAAATGATCAATTGGGAAGACGAGCAAATTTTCAGTGTTCACCAGTCTCAAAGAAGAAAAAATGCGAAAAAAATTTCGGCATGGAATAAAAAGGCCCCGAGATGTTTTTCGAAAAAAATGCTTCAACAGCAATTGTTATCAGAGAGTCAAAAGGAAGTGTTATTTGAATTACTGCAGGCAATATTCCAGTCCACTGCTGCCAAAAAACTTGCATGACAACACTACAACCGAAAGTCGAATAGAAAGGCAAGAAAAAGTCATACATCTTATATATAAAGCTGAATGTCTGTTTGTATGTATGTCTGTCTGTATGTCTGTCTGTGTGTACGTATATTCCGAATAGAAAATTCCATTTCTGAACCGATCCGGTCCAAACTTGGCACACATACACTTCGGGCCCCGGCGGGTGTCACAGTCCACTTTTCGTTATCGATTGATGTCGATGTTATCGATTTTTTGCAAAATTTGAGCTAGGGGGCTGGAATTTGGCAGAGGGGTGTAATCGAGCAATGTTATCGATTTTTTGCAAAATTTGAGCTAGGGGGCTGGAATTTGGCAGAGGGGTGTAATCGAGCATGCTGATCACCCCCGTGGGGGTGATCAGCATGCTCGATTACCCCCCTGTGCCAACTCCCAGCCCCCTAGCTCAAATTTTGCAAAAAATCGATAAAATCGATAAAAGCAATGCACGATTTTAAAAACTAATATTGTATTCGTAATCCCCATGCTCACTTACCCCCCTGTGCCAACTCCCAGCCCTCTAGCTCAAATTTTGCAAAAAATCGATAAAATCGATAAAAGCAATGCACGATTTTAAAAACTAATATTGTATTCGTAATCCCCATGCTCACTTACCCCCCTGTGCCAACTCCCAGCCCTCTAGCTCAAATTTTGCAAAAAATCGATAAAATCGATAAAAGCAATGCACGATTTTAAAAACTAATATTGTATTCGTAATCCCCATGCTCACTTACTCCCCTGTGCCAACTCCCAGCCCCGTAGCTCAAATTTTGCAAAAAATCGATAAAATCGACATCGATCGATAACGAAAAGTAGACTGTGACACCCGCCGGGGCCCGAAGGGTATGTGTGCCAAGTTTGGTCCGGATCGGTTAAGAAATGGAATTTTCTATTTGGAACATACGGCGGAGCCGGGTAAGCCAGCTAGTACCTTATATTTCCCGTCGCAACCTTCTCCTTGCAGAACCTCTGGTGCCATATAGCTTAGTGTACCCATCTGGCTCTCTTTGATAGCAGCTGTCTAGAAGTGCAGAAAGGCAATGAAATGGAAGCATCCACCTGAAAAGTGTGCGACTTACCATATCATTTGGTATACCAGCAGCGATACCAAAATCGATAAGCTTAAGTCTTCCCTTCACTAACAAGAAATTGGCTGGTTTCAGGTCCGAATGAACGATCTCTGCAAAAGCGGATTAAGCCACTAATCTTCAAAAAGTGCATGAAAACTGCGCTCACTTCTATCGTGAATGACCTTCACGCAGCGAAGCATCTCATTCCAGTGATATCTTACAAAGTTAGAATCTATCTCAGAGCGACGAGTTTTTAGAAATGTTGCCAAGTCGATATCGCCCTTTTCCATGACTACATATAGAGTATTTTCGCACTCGCGCAATTCGCTGAAAATCTGCATAAAGAAAAGCTTTCAAAAATGGACAAAAAATGCAATAAAAATTCAACTATACTAAAAAAGAAAGAAGAAGAAGACCACATCAGCGACAGTGCGAAAACTCACTATTCAATCATTTTTATCACATATGGACTTCCTTGTAAGCTATTTAAAAGCTCTATTTCGTTCAGATAACAGTCCCGCACAACAGGATCGTCTCCTAAATGTCTGCCTTTCAATACAACAATGAAAGATGCCAAAACGCTCCAAAACTTACCTAGATCAACAACTTTCAGAGCACAAACTTCACTGCGAGCTTCGTCGAAGACTTCATACACCTTAACAATAATTGCCTGCATTGATATAATGATTAATGTGCTAAAACCGCAAGAACTAGCCAAAGACAAGATGCACGTGGGTTAATTGACAAGAATGTGGTGGTAAAAATGTTAGATGTCGTCTGTACGGAAGATGTCAACGTTTGAAAAAATCTTTGAAACAACAATTTTTGATCAAATTAAGTAAGAGAAAAGGCTTACCCTACTACTGCCTCCTTTTCCTAGAACATTTAGCCAGATATAACTGTGATTGTTGATGATCATAACTTTATTGTTCAGCGAAGAAGTGGAAGAGGATGGTCGCAATCCGCCCATCGAGCGCGGAGTTTCTGCGCAAAGCGAACTCGGCTAAAAAATGCAGTAAGAGCAGATGACATATACTTCAGCTGTTCTTACAGATTTTGTGCCAGCACTTTTACTTCTTGTCTTGATAAGGTTATCGGCGGGTGATTTCAGTCCTATGTTGTCCAGTCGAGAGATCCTGAAAGTAGGAAGTGAACACAGAAGATTCATGAGTTTTGTCTCATGAAATAATTGGTTCACTAGCTCAAGCTCTTTTTCCAAGAAAATTTGATCTATCAAACCAGCCTAAGCTAATGAATGATTACTTCAGAAAAAAAAAATCATAGATAACCTGTCTTTCGCATGAGCTTTCTCTGGAATGGCTGACAACTTCGGAGTTTTTGGCGTGACTAGATGACGATCCTTGATTACTCGTTGTGCGCTTTTGTGATGACGAGGCTCCTCAGAAGCCTGAGTGCTCAAGTTATGTCGTACAGCCTTGAACAAAAAAATTTGGTATAGTTTTAAGGCTGCATGACAATTCAAACTCACTCCTAGACTATCATTCATTTTGCTCAAGTCAAACATTTCTCCAGCTGGAGCTGTTTTGTTTTGTCTGGTCATTGAGGACGAAAGATAGCTGTTTTCCTTATTTCCCTCACCTGCAGAAAGACTGTTTAGATAAAGTCCAAGGAAAGAGGAAGGAACTGTGGATTCCAAAAGATAGAAAGAACTTACTTTGTGATGTGCGACTGACTTCACACATATGAAGCTGCCGCTTATTACGTGCTTGTAGAGCAAGGATTCGTTGTGCCAGAGGGATTTGTTTACTAGCTGATCCATCTTGTGCCGACATCTTCAAACAAAGTTTGGAAAAAAGGCATCGTGATTGTCAAACAATACAAAAGGACTACGGAGGATCAAGTACACAATGTTGAAGTCGTCAAATTGATATTTCAGAGCATTTATTAACGTAAAACGAATTTGTACACATTCAAAAGCAACAGAAACAGTAACAAGGAGAAGATACCTATTTCACTTGGCCCAAAGGTCAGTGACGGAGTGGATAAGAGGAAAGGGAGAGGAAGGAGAGGAGACTGGAGTGACCTAGATATGTTATAAAATGATGCAGATAACTTTTTTCCATTTGCAAATAATCGTGTTCTTTTCGCAAGAATCTCTCTCAGAACTGATTATGAAAGGTTGTCGAAATATTGTTCTCAAAATATGATTTCTTAGAGCGTAGTCCACGTTATTCTTCTCATTAAAAACTAGCAACCAGAAAATTTCTCGCGAATGTTAGTCCTAAAGAATTGTGAGACTGGACAACTAATGTGAGGCAGATTCAAGAGAAAGCCTATTCAGACAGTCCCGTAGACACCATAGATGAGTCCTTGCAGCGCTGGAGGAACTCTTCTATGATGTCTACCATGCTATCTGAATTCGCCTCAAAAAATTTCGGTTTAATTATCCAACTGCTTGAAAAACGGTTGGACATAGTTTCTTAAGGAAGAGTCATCTACATAGACAGAGCAAGACCTAGTGCAAGTGGAGGAAGATATCGACTAAGATCAACAATTTAACATAAGAACCTATCATCAAATACTCTAGATAAATATACAGTGGTCTCTATAGCATGTACGCTTGAGAGGTAGAAAACAGATTTCTATCAACTATGCATTCGAGCTTAATTCAAACTATAGGCGGCTGCTCAGGATCGTCTTCTCCTTCACCTTCTCTCAGTATTCTCTCTTTGTAATCCATATACCTTCAAACAGAGTTCAACATCAAAACAATCATCAAAGTAAACAAGCATACCTGTATTTTTTATTCATAGGACCAGCTCTGTACATTTGCTTCAATAACCGCTCTTCCAACAGATCCAAAGCTGCACGAGAGAAAACTATTGTGTTATATTTCATCAAAGAGAAACAGTTCAGTCCATAAACTGGCATGGCCGTAAATGATGGGATCTGCTCTATGGCATTCGCAAGTCCGCCAATTATCTGCAAGGATCAGCTACCCTGGTAAAGATAACGGAACAAAGATAAAAAATGGTAGCAATTTTTAGTAATTAATCACGCCTATGCTCAAAAGCTGTGACAAAAATAAGATAAAGAAAAAATATCCACAAAAAAAAGTGGACTAGGTAACATAATTCCGAGCAAAAAAAATTATAAAGTTGCAACGCCAACCTCATCGTTCTCACTGACAAAAAGCACGGAATAGCCCCAGTTGCGATGATCGGCTAAGTCATGCATGAATTGTGCGTCAGCATCTGCTGGCAGTTGATCCAGTCTGTCAACAATTTGGAGACAGTCCTGTGCATGTTTCACAGTAAGCGCCACACACAAGCCTAAAAATCCTACTTTTAGGATGACTTTGTCCCTGATATGTGATCACATTACCCTTTATCCTAATGGCATCAGGCAAGATGTAAAACCATGTACGTGGTCCACGAACACCATTAGCAAAACCTCCATGAATAAACTGTGGAGAACGTATGGATCCGACATGGGCACGTCCGGTTTTCTTCTGAGGCCATGGTTTTCGTCCTAAAAACAAACAAAGGAGAATGAAGTATTCAAAAACAAAAGCTGGTACCTCCTCCTGGCATCTCAGCACGAGTCAGTTGTTTTGTCAGCTGGACATTCCTATATACCTCCTGCCAGGTCAAATTCCTTGGAAAAAATTGATATAAAGTTTTATCATAAGCTACAGATGGTGTTCCATATAGAAAGAGAAAAGAAGAGAAGAGATGGGCTTCTTGAATGCATTTTGAAAAAGTGCAGAAGATAGCGCGGCGTCGTTTCCACATTTCCTTTCCGCCACAAGTGCAAAATGCGTTACGTCTTATTTATCATAGGTCATCTAGTAAAGATCAAGAATGAATAGAAACAAACGAAAGAATCACCTGTGCAAGATATCCAGCCTTGGCGGGGCTCGAAATACATCTGGATGTAAGTCAATGATTCCTAATTTTCTATCTTCAATCGCGTCGAAAGTAGACACCCAAGCCTAACCAAGCACGATGCATAGAAGCAAAAAAAAAACAGAACATCAAATGAATAAATACCTGAGGAGTTTCCACGAAAGGGCTTTTTGGCACTTTAAATAATTTTCTTGAACAGACTGCCGGATCCACATCTGCCGACTCAGCCGAAACCTCACCAGCCGCTGTAGCTAAATTCGCAGCAAAGCGAGTAAAGGAGATCGGAACGGACGGTAGCACCCGCCCAAACATTGCTAAACAAACTTTGTGCAATCCTCATACGTTTACATGGAAGTCAGATATCGGAACGCACCAAATGCACCATGAAATGTTGAAACTTTGGTTATAAAATTTATTACATGGAAAATAACAAACAAATGAGGTCTAAAACAATTTATACATAAATCTAGAAAGACGCTAGTTATTGGTGTGACTGTTGCGAATTTCGCGCTTCTTTCCCTCGCATGATGGCTTCCTTGAACAACCTAGAGATTCACAGATCAGTACAATCTCCTGCTCTATGAACCTTTAAGGTTAACATGCAGTATTCGACTCTACTTGTTCCTGCTCCCAGAATGATAGGCGCAGATAACACCAATATAAAAATGTCACAATACTGCAAAAATAAATAGCAAACTGAGGATCCCAGGACTAATTTTTAGTTTTCGAACACAACTTGAAGATAGTGCTCAAGTTGCAGGTACTTGATTCAGTGACTACATCGATCCAGATTACCAAAAAAAGTCCATGCGTACGGTCAAGAATGATTTGTAGGAACATTATACCTATAGGATCACTACGGAATAAATAGCACGGCCCCTAATCGCACGTTATAAATTAGTGATCCAATATAAAACGGAAATAGCAGCGACTAACAAACCTTAATAGGTACTCAACGCTTTGCGAGCTATCATCATTAGCTGGAACCATGTATGTGATGTATGCTGGATCAGAATTGGTATCTACAATGCCTACAGTGGGAATCGTCATTTTCGCAGCCTCTGAAAATCATGTACTTGAATCTAAAGCAAGAAATCAAAACGATAAACCTATGATCGCTGGATGATTGACAGACAATGATGTCAATGTATTCATGAAGATGATGGTGTCCGGCAATCGTATACTAGCACCGAAAAGCTGGCGAGTGTTAGTTAGAGTGCCTTCCTGCCACCGTCGAACATGAGAGTACTGTCCGCACTGTAACATTTCTATTAAAGAAAGGGTGAAAGAATGTCCATGAGAGTTCAGAAACGGACAAAAAGAAACTCACTTCTTCTGCGGTCTTCTCGACGGAAAACATGGTTTCACGGTTTGTAGTGATAAACAAAATTAATCCACCACGCATGGCTACATGCGCCACGAAGTTCAAAGCTCTATAATGACGTTCATATCCACGATAACAGTTCAACGCATTCGTTTTACAACTCACCTTATAAGGTGTGTTCTAGTTATATCTAGATCAAAAATACAAACTCCTAGACGCTCACCGTAGAGGGCCCATTTCATGTTATCATTCAATGTACCAGTCTAAGATGTAAATTTAGCAAGATTTCGCAGAGATCAGTAAAATGAAAAACAGATACCTTGTGACCAAGATGGAGGCGGGCGTTGAACATATCAGGCACAGTTACTAGCGATTCTAACCTAAATTTGTCCTCGACCTGGAGATCCTCTGAGATGTAGTCTCTGAAAATCATATCCACATTACTATGAAACAATGACGCAGACATTATACTGGAAAATTGCCATGGGTTTGATGAGTGTATGTCAAGAGGCGCAATTTTTATTGCCAGATGGACTCCAATTAGCGCCTTTTAAATATAAAGAAAAAGAAGTCGGAAGAAGAAAGAAAGTTTTTATGATGTTTTAGGAGCATTTTAAATTTTTATTAAGATATGTATGTGGTCGTCTCTTGAGTTGCTCGATCCTATTGTTCTGAGATAGACTCAAAAGATGGATGTTGAGGGTCAAAAATCCTCGAAAATGAAGTTAATGACGCTTTCTTAAAAAGTTCCATCAATTTTTAACAAACGCCGTAAAACTAATGAAGGCTTCAAATACAAAGTAAGCTAGAGTACTTTGTTTGGTATAAAAGATTCCTTAGCTTCAAACTGGGCTGTTAAACTGATGACCTTTGGAGAAATCACGCCTCTTGACAGTCTCCCGTGCTTGATAAGATTAAAAAAGAAAAAGACAAACCTCAACACTGAGGGCCTTACTGTTGCCTTTTGTAGCGTATCCCTACTAGGGCTTAGTGGCACCTTGGGTTTCACCTCGAAAAGCAAACGAGTTATTGAAGATCGACAGAAAGTGAAACATACCTGTGAAGCAGATGAGCAAGCACGCAAAATAATGCTTCCACATGCAAAGCGCTCACCTATCCGCAATGCTGGGAGAATGCTATTCATCTACAAGATGTAGAAAAATTAAGGGGAGGATTGATTGCATAGCACAGGTATGTGAGAGAAAAATACTTAAGTAGAAAACACCAAAAAGATATTTAGAAATTTTATATCAAAAGAAACAAAAACAACAAAACACAGATGGGGCATTTGAAACATGTGAGAAAGCTACTTTGATGGAGAGAGAAGAGCAAAAAAACTGATAAAACAGCAAATTTGATTTTAGAAACGATCACAAGGAAATCTTGAGCACAGAGCACTTTCCAAAAGAAAGCATTTTTCCCTGCGTTTGATGAAGTAAACAGAACAGAACAGCAACATATAGTTCAGTGTCCAAACAAAACGAAAGCTGTAGAATCTATGAGACTGCCAGAGGAGAAGTTAAAATAAATGGCAATGAAAACGCAAAAAAAAACGATGAAAGGAGAAGGAATATATAATAGCTTGCAATAAGCCTGAAAGTATGCAAAACTTTGTTGCAAAAAAAGTACTTGGTACAGGGCACCGTGTGTTCGTTTTAGAAATCTTTGCAAATACACAATGATTAAGAAAATCGCAAATACCCGAAAATCTGAGGATAAACTTCAAATCAAAAAAAAATCAATAAACCTATTAGAAAATCACATCACTGTAATAGCAGCGTGGTATCACCTCAAAAAGAATGCATGCGGGATGCGCATGAACAAGACACATCGTCAATGTAAGCACCGCACACTCTAATCATGAACAATTCAACACTGACTTTACAATAGCTATGTGAAATATCTATTTATCTGCGACTAGCTTGAGAATTGGGAACACCGGTGATTCTGGCATAAACTGGAAGGTAATTCGACGATCACGCACATTTCCAGCCAAGAGTAAGCGGGCTACTACTACGTTCGTACGGCAAATTAATATCACAGGCCTAAAAACCACGAAAAATACGGGCTGACTTGCAGGACATAATAATAAACAGAAATCTTAGTCATGATCAATCAAAACAGAAAAGAGAAGCCAGGTGAGAAAGGTAACAGGAAGTGTATCATCGGCCCCAGATTTGTGTGGAGGCGGAGTCGTGCTTCAAAGCGTGGCGGTTTCTGATAGTGAGAGAGTACGAAAAACAATGCTTTGCTTGGAGATTCGACAAGTTCATCTTTTAATCAGGATGTCCGCAACCCGCCTCCACAAAAATTTGGCAGCCTACACGACATAAAACAGAAATTTCTGAACGAGAAAAAAAGACTCACTTTGTATGACTAGTGAACTCAGGTCGGTCGACAAGTTTTTCAAACTGATTTCGTGCAAACTCGAAAGTATCGATAGCTCTTTGTAAAGGGACACTGATATCACCCTCGATCAACTCTCGAATCCTAAGAAAACTCATTAAATAGCAGAATGACAAAACGAACAAAAGGCAAAAGGATAGAAAAGTCACCACATACGATAAAACCTACTTGCTCCGCACTAGATATTCCTCATAGCTCACATGAAGAGGATCACCAATACTTGACAGGAAAGCCATGCGATGTTCAAAACGAAGACGCTCTGATTCTTCACTCCACATTGGCACCTACGGTATGAAATATGAGTTGAACAGAGATTGGCTCAAATTTTTTTGAATAAGCTTCAAACACATACCCTAATCTGACCCATCTTAATCAAAGCAACAGTCATGTGAAATGTAGCATCTGCCATGGCAGAATGGCCATACCTCATGATCAACTGGTCTTGACAAGCAGCAGAGCTGCAATAACATCGCAATCCAACAATAAGCATTTTAATCCAAAAAGAAAATTAGTTCAACTGCAAAAGTTAGTTACCGGATTCGAAAATGTTCTTCATGATTGAGTCGAGGTTTCAACTTCTTCTTATTCCTTCGTGAATTTTCTAACAGTTCACATTCTATAACGAAAATTGTTGTTCATGAAAAAGCAGGCGATCAAAACTAGCACCAACCTTTTCTCAAAGTGTCTTTCATAAGTTCACGTGTTTTCTCAATAGAAGTCATGTACCACCTTCCTAGCACCTCACCGTAGAACCTGACAAGACATTTACAGGAAAAAACTACAAAAAAATGATACCGACGAACCAGTAGATGTACGGATACTCAAATGGGGCGAATAAATCTAGTCGAAAGCTAAGCTCCAGATGATAAAGCACTAGATAAAGTGTCTGGGTAAAAATGTAGGTGACGAATGGATTGTCTGCAAGACACAAAATAGCAAACAGAGAATGGGAGTGTAGATTATTATATATTGCAAAAATATAAAGAAAAACATACATTTATTGTGTACAGGAACAATTTGTCTGCATACAGTATCAACACGGCAGGCATCCTCATGCAACTCATTCATTTCTTCCATGATAATTACTAGCTTATCTCTCTGTCTAGCGAGATTAAAACCTGTAAATGACACATACCCAACTCTCTGAAGTATAACACACGATGTAGTTACCAAAGTTTTGGTATAAACTCAGCATGACTCTCGTGGTATTCATTGTAAAATCTTCTACAACCTTGCGGCATTCGTCATTCTCATAGAGAGGAGTACTATAACATTAGGCAGAAAGTAGAAGTATTGCAAATCATAAGCGAACAAATTCAAACTTGAGAAAAAGGATGCACTTACTGGGGAACTAGTGCCAAGGGAAATACCGTGTTTCTTATCGATCTCTCCACCAAAAGTGCAGTAGGTTGCGTGCCTAACACGTTGTCATCGAGAGGATAGATTACCATCTAAACGGCCATGGAGTCTGGAAGCTGAAAGAACCACAAATATATATTACCTGTAATATAGATCGAGTAAGAACACAGCTGTCGTCATAGCTGAACCATTTCATAAATTCGATGAGGGACATTGAGTCCATCAAGTTATTTCGCAGCTGAGTCACCATATAATGTATCCTGACAAACGTGCAAATTGATGATAATAGTAAACACCTCCATAAAATAGTCAAACCTGCAGGCAACACGATGCAAATGTGGAAGGGCCTTTTCTCGAGGGAGGATTTCGATTTTTCTAGGGAATGTCGATGGTAAGTATTTCCTGTTGAGCTCAGGTTCAAACGCCACAAGCCAAGAAAAATCACCTAAATACGTTGAGTGGGTTGATAATATTCGAAAAAGCTGCATCCTCACCATCATGCTCAACACCCTCCGGCCGTGGTGCTCCTTCATTCAGCGATGTTTCCAAAAACTTCGATGACAGTAACATAAGCTTGGACGACGTGTAGGCAGCTGCGTCCAAATCGGCACTGAAACGCTCCTTGGATTAACGAAATTCAAACCCAAAAAGACTTACGTAAACCCAACAGCATCCAAAGGAGGCATTTGCAGAGGATCACTGTCTGAACATTCTGGTCTCCTAGGAGGCACTAGATGTGTGATTGTAACCAGAAAAAGTCTCAAGAAGGCGATTCGCGAAGAAAGCGAAAGAATCACGTCCTTCAAACTAGCGTGATCCTGAGAAATATTTTGAGGGTCAGCTCAGATACAGATAAGGAGTAAAAATTATATGGTAATAATAACGTCGTCAACACCAAATTATTGTATAAAATCGATAAGTCTCTTCGCTACATTCGGACAAGAGATCAATAGTTTATATGAAAAATATACCGGTTTTTCAGCTTTTGAAACAAGATCAAGTTCCACTTCTTTCATGAATTGCAAAACATCCTGCAGAGAATGCTGGGACGTGCATGGAAAAGGAAGGTGAGGATTGAAGTCTTCCTAAGAAAAAGATTATAGTGACTTGTACATAGATCTCAGTCAGCAACAAACTTCCTCATAAACACTAGCGTTCTGGATAACACTCTTGACAAGCATCACGACATGATAAAATCCATGAGCTAAACATGCAAAGACAGGATGCTCATCGCAGCGCACTCGATCAGGCTCCGTGAGCAGCACATTTGTCCACAGCTGAACGTGCACGTCAAAATATAAATATGGAGTTGCTAACATTGTTTTCTGGGTAAACGGTCCGAAATACAGACACGTTCGCTCAAAAAGAAAGCAGAATATTCAACATATTGGCAATTAAAATCCAGATACCATGTGTTTTGCGTTAGACCAATTTAAACAAAATAAGGTTCTTACCGTCTGCCCGATGCAGCTGCCTTCAAGCCAAGTAACAAACGCGCATAGTGTTGCATCATACACTGCTAGTTGCTCAGCATAATTAGACTCGAATAAACCCTAAAATGATGCATCCAAATGGTAAGCAAATTCTATAGCAAAGACGCAACAGTACTTACGTTGCTTCGAGATTCATCCAATCCCATTTGCCTAGTAACTCGCTTCATACCTATGTCCATTTTCTCATCCATCAGTTCCACTGCACTCATAGCTTCACCAAGAGTGAACGAATCATATCGAATAACTTCTCCTAATGCTAACTCTGCAAGTGTGCACATTTAGCAGTCAAAATTCGAAAAAAAAGTTAAAAAAGAAAAAAAAACAGTTCTTACTTGAACAATCTTCGAAGAACCTTTCCGTGATATCGATCGGTTCTTCATTGTCAAAAGGTAAGTCAAGTTTCCTAGTGCCTTTATCCAGCAGCTCTTTTAGCTGAGAATTAGCCATCCGGCAATGCGGAGACTTAATTGAAAATGGGAGACATGAGAAAAGAATTAGATGAGGAAAAAATACGACGACATTATTGGAAGACTGCACCCACACGACAGAAATGACATCATACTGCGAGATATTTATTTTAGTCTTCTTATAAATGCAATTTATATCGAGATAAGTGAATATAGCAATGAGGAAGGAACAATAGCTGAGGTTGACAAAAAATGGAAAAATATCAATAATCATTGAGATCAAATGGCATAAACGATAAAAAGCATAATTCATATGGAATGAGCTCAAGATTTACAAAATCAAAAATTCAAACTTTACTTGCTTCCCTCATTTCTTCCTTGACGCCAGCAATGAGAACAGCCAACTCTGCAGAACGCACATCGGCGTCGATTTGCTTTTGGCTGAGTTGATGGATGATGATTGGCACGCTCAATCTTCGCCGTTTTGCAACAATTTCGGAGTCGTTTATACTCGGGAAATCCCTCTTTAGGTCAAATCGCTGATCTAGAAAAGTAGAAGTATGAGACAGCTAGCTCATGAACAAAAAAGAAAATGACAGCGCATTACAAATGCATATCATGGAAGAAAAACGATAGACAAGGGGGAACAGAGTAATGCTGCTTTCTGCGGAGGTACACCGTAATTACACGTAAAAGGTTTCGAAAAAAGAAGAGATAAAATTCAGCGTCACAAACCGCAAAAAGAAGTGAGCGAAAGAATCAAAACAAAAAGTTACCCAAAAAATATGACTGTGCAATCTTCTCTTGGATTTGACGAGCTCTCTCGATTCTGATTTCGTTCAAAAGTTGATTACGAAGCCTCTCCTGGAAATTTTCAAATTTCAGTGTTCGCATCAAACAGCAACCCCACATAAGTGACGATGTGACTGACAATCAAAATTTAAAACAAGTAGAATGACAAACCTGCGCGATAAGCTTGTTATCGTCCTGATTGGATTCAGCGATTTTCTTCAAACCAATAGTTCGCCGCTCAAGTGAATCCATTTCAAGGCAGCGTATAGTCTCTGTGAGCTAAAATACAAATAATGAGCGCACACAAAACGTAAAAAAGAAGCACACAAAAATAAGATAGGAAGGATCATATGTGTAGATAATAAACAAAAAAAGGAAACATACCTTATTACGGGCATTGCACTCTTCCAGCAGCTCCCGTTGTTTAGCTATAAACTCGGGGTCTGTTTGATTCAGGACATCTTGCCGCCGTCTCATCAACTGCAAAGCACAGACTACATTCCTGAATTTTCTACCTGCTTCCGGTTCTCTCTAATGCCAATGTGACTGCGACTAGTTTTATACAATCAAGATTTGCAAAGTTGCATCATGCAGCGCTGCAGCAACGCATTCAAAAGCAAAAAAAGCCAGTGGAATTTGGTAATGAGCTCTACATCGATTGCAAATTTCGCCAGTACAAGTCAGGGCAATTTAGCTTTCTCCCAAGGAATACGCGAGCAAAAAATTTGACATACCTGTCTGACTTTCAAATCTCGAAGCACGATTTTCAGCTTGTTGAACTGGATTTCAGCTAGTATTATCTGACGAAGACACAGATCGCGTCGCTTTTCATACTCGACAGGATCGAGTTCAGTTTCTGACTCAGATTCCGACATCTCTCGATCACCTTCGGATTCCGGCCGTTCATCCTCGGCCATACAAAACTCTGAAAATTTACTTTTGGTTGAAAATCGTGAAGTAATAGAATGCCAGAAACAAAGATAAGAATTGCTGGAAGACCGCATCACAAAAGATAAGAAAACCTCAAACGCCGTTACGCCTCGTGCATTTGCGGTCGCAAGCGCACTTGACGACTGATCGTTTCATATTTTGAGGGGAACGTCCGGAAGGCGACAAATGACCTAGAATAGGCGCAGCTAGTGGCCACGCCCTGTCCGAGTTTTCCGTTGTTAGGATGCTCTGGATATTTGAATTGGGGCGCCTTTACACATATTGCGCATGGCTCTCTCAATCTCTGGCTTCATCGTTTCTTCTCACGTGGTTTTTGAACGTGTTTTTGTTTCGTGTATGTATATTATTGCTTACTGTGGTAAATGATTTGCTTTCTTTTGTATTTGCCTATCTGTTAGCATATGCTCTTCAAAACTGCCTTTTGTAGAAATTTTTGTTTCAGGCTGCAGCAATATGTATAGTGCAATAGAAGATCATCCTACTAAGAAGGTTAGTAGATACCTGCGTTCTTGAGTGATGTGTTACTTTTGTATTTTTTCATAAGTTAGGGGTTTAGTTAAGTATACCATATTTTTATATGTTAATTAGTTCTTGTGCAGACCTCGTCCATGTTGATGATGGGACGGATAAAATGTGAGTAGAAATCCACTCAACAACGGTACTGTAAGCCAGTCATATCAAGTAAAGGTGAGCCATTATTCTTTTGCATCTTCTTCACAACACGACTTTTCTTCAGGCTGAACACAGAAGAAGATTTGAGCACTTCGAGCAAGGACGCATTCTACGGTGGGACCTCAATTTTGAGATTATTCGAGCACTTCATTTTTTTTTGATTTCAGCTGTCGCTTGCAATACACTGTAATGTGATAATGACAATAACCATTCTTTTTTTTCTTATTGTTAGCATCGCTGCCTTTTTTTCATTGAGAATAAAGGATTATGTTCAAACTGTAGGACAGAACAGCGCAGAAAAGCACGAGAAAGGTCATAGAATTGATTATGAACAGAATGCGGGTTTGCTAAATGGGTTGAGTAATTAGACAGTTTTGGATTTCCTGCAAAAAGAGTTTGTATTTCTTCCACCGAAACGGAGCTGACTTGCAACAGTATGATCGTTCTGATTTATCTTGTCTGTTTGAACAAAACCACAGTCGGTCTTTGTCATGCCCTGATTACCCTTCATGACGAGCTCAGTACGATGCATAATCTATGAATCTGAATGTGACAAATCGACTTCGGTGAATCAAAAGAATGAAAATCGCGGAAGAACTGCACTCCTAGATCAAAAGAACGCGCTTTCGAGGAAACTGATCTGCTTATAACCCGTTTTTGGATGGTGAATTGCGATTGTGTTCTCTCAATTGTCCCAAAGCTATAATAACGTGTTTCATAGGTCTGTAATGCTTGACCTTTCTAATCTTGAATTGAGGGAACCAAAAGTTGCACTAACAAACTTATAGACAAGTATCAACAAGGAGATAAACAGGTTTGAAGTGACACATTTACTCCGTACACTGCTTAGCCCATATTTGACCAGTAGTTTGACTCTAGGCAACAAGCAAATCAATAGGAACTCTGAAGAATCCTGCTACCATTAGTGCGCCAGCGCGTGTGCCGAAAGAGCGTCAGTCCTTAACCTGGTTGACCTCGCCTCGGTGTCACAGGCGCTCATGGGGGGCGTGGCCTCCATGCGCTCGCTCCAACTGCGTTTTGTCGCCTTCCGGCCTACACCCATATTTTGAGAACGGAGCTGCATCTTTCATGAAGAGGGGAAAGAGCTGTTCTTTTCTGATTCGATACCGTTTGGAAGTATCATTTGACGGAAGCATTCCAATAAATGCACAAATACAATCTCAATCCATTTTCTCATTCTCTAACTTCTGCCCATGGGTTGAAATCACCTAGTTTCTCTATAAAGTAACCTTCAAGACGATCTCCACTCACTAGATGTTCCAAGTCACAAAAAGACCGTTTTCGCGGTCGGATGTCATGCGCCATACTCAGATAATCGCCGGGGGCAGGCGGTCCGCAAAATGGAGTTTTGCATTTTCGCAACGGGTTGTTGTGCCAAGCACGCTGGGCGGAGTTTGGGAACGCCCGTAAAAGCGCTCGGACCTGGGAGGAGTTGCAGGTGCGCTCCATCGCCAATTCGATTAGAGCACCGTTTTTTCAAGTGGGGCGCACTATCTCCTAACACTTAGCGTATCACAAACTTTCCAAAGAGATGGAAGACTGGGAGAGGGACTATGTGCAAAATAATATAATAGAATGTTTTGGTTCATCCCGCTTGCATGTTCTTTCCTCTTCTCAAGCTGTCAGGACATATCATCATACCCTATGGTTCTCATGATTTGGCGTTCATGCATCACTCAACAATACTTTTGCTTTGTGTTCTTCTATATATGACCTTTGTTTTGGTTCTTATTTTACTCTACTCACTAGAGTTATGCAACAACGAAAAAAGGGGAGACGATCAAGAGGCGCGATTTCTCCGGCTGTCACCAACTTAAAACTCCATTGTAGTGCTATACGAGTCTTCAAAAAAAACCAGATAAAGTGCATTGGATTACTATCTGTCTGAGGTTACCACTTGCTAAGTCTGGTGGCTTTTGCTGGAAAACTAACCAAAATACCTACTAATTTGTTCTTAACTGCATTTTCATGAGTTTTTGACCTTCTCAATTGCTGTTTTGAATTGAATCTAAGGTAGCAAGATTGAGCAACCCATGCAACTATCTAGCACAGCCATAGTTAGCATCTACCCTCTATAACCTTTGCCTGAATTTACGCTTGAAACTCATTGTCAGTAACTGTCTTGAACTTCCGTTTTTGGGTTAGTCTCGGCTGCTCTAACTTCTCTTTGAGTTCACACCACTTGAGGATCCACTTTGTGCAGCTTTTAGAAGTATCTTAGGGCTGCTAGCGCTAAACTGGGATGGATTTAGCACTGGTGTTCGTATGCGAACCCTTTTTACGGCTCGCATGTGGCCAATCAAATTCTGGCAACAGCTGTGTTTCAGTCCTTCCTACTCCTTCAAAAACATCCTTTACGGTGTTGCTTTGTCTTTTTTTTCTTGAGACGACCTATAACTGTCTTGTAATTACATAACTTATCTCGAAAACATAAAAATCTTTCCTGAGATCTGCTGGAAAACTTGTTAGATCGACGTCTTTGAAGCAATGAGAGCTAAAAAAAAAGAAATCGAATGTGTCATATTTCAATTTTTGCGCTTGATAGCAATCGTCGCCTTTTCTCATGAGCTTCAAAAGCGCTGCATAGTCGTAAATCATCATTGCTAATGTTGTTCGATAAGCTTGTCGATGATGCCTAGATTGAAAATTGAAGAAAAAATGGGTGGAAAATGGCAACTTTATGCTGGTGACCTTTATAGACTATAACGTTTTGCTAAATGGAAAAACCGGGATTTTTGCAGTTAGTGAATAGTTTTGAATGTACAAAATTAATTTGCCCAGCTGTCAACCTCAGGAATTCTCTAGAAACAAACAAATTTTGAAACTTGGTGCTATACTAAGTTAACTATGAAACTTTACTTACTGGAATTGAAATTAATGAGAATTTTTTTGAGCGAGAGCTGACCAATGTGCTGAACATAGAACTTGGCCTGCTGCCATGTTCTCACTGAGCATCACTTTGGGACAAGTTCGTAGTTTTTCGTAGGACGGGTTCTTAGGCACATGCCGTAGGCTGCGTTCATACTAATCCGGAAATCTGGAAACCTTGAAACTTGGAGCAGATCTTACTTATCATTGAGATCCACTGAGAACATAGATATTGTATATATTCGTGGAAATACATGTGACAAGAGTCCAAACGCATGTAGGGTCGGTCGAATATGCACAAAAAATCCAGCATGCTTGGAATTTATGTATTTCGAGCAAAACATTCCCAAGAATTTCAAATTTCTGGCGGGCTTGTGGGTGTGTGCTTCAAAGTTAAGCAGCAAAATGGTTTGATATTTCACAGAATTTTTTCTACGCATGAAATGCAGGTCTTATCGTAACAAAGAATTGGCAGTTTTGATTCTCTGACATGATTTGTCCACATTTTACCGTCAAATTCCCACAAAGATGTCAAAGACTATACGTATACTCAAAAACTACCCAGATCGGCGTGAAGTGTTTGGAGATAGTGCGCTCCAGTTGAAAAAACGGTGCTTTAATCGAAATGGCTATGGAGCGCACCTGCAACTCCTCCCAGGTCCGAGCCCTTTTACGGGCGTTCGGAGTTTGGCTGAGGCGCGTGCTTGGCACTGTTTTGACCATTCCGGTCTTTCGTCAGCTCAGGAGGAGCCTATTATTGCTCTCTCCTGTCAAAATGTAAAAGAATGTGTCATAATCTAGATAGAAGCAGATCTGCTTATTGAATGGAATTGGCCAGTAGCAATGGAACGCAGTAAGTCTTCGATATGATTCGGCACAGTATACCAGTCCTGTTTACGTCTTGAACTCTAGTCAATTTCCTCACAGATGCAGCAAATACTCGAGGTTTTGATTTGGCACCGGAACGTTTTCCCTCATCTGCCAGCTTAGATTTGCTCGATTGAAGTTCAGATTGCTAAGTTTTCTGTCATCGTCGTATTGCTTGTTGTGAACCAAGTGACAATGTTTGCTTATGGCATATGTAAGAAGTAAACTGCGTTGTTGCCAGACTTGAGCCTCTTCTCTCTGGGCTCATATTGTTCGCAAACGCTCACGTGCCAGGATTACCATCGTTTGCTAGAATGGGGAAAGACCTGCTTATGGGTGGTTTTCGGAGCTTGTTCTATGTCTAGTAAGCATCTCTTCATTTCCATCTCTTTTAGCAGCGCCAAAATTATATTTCTGCTCTACTGCGCTGCAACGATTGCGTAGGCTTATTCGGGTATATTCGTATTTGCCATGCACAACATCACATAGCTGCTTTCGAGCATCGCTTTAGTCAAGCGGGCCTACTCGGGAGAAGACCTTGCTTGCCCTCAGTCTCAAAGGTCGGAACAAAGGGTCGCACCCTCGT